GGATCAAGGAGAGAGACCAACAACAGAGAGTTATTTTATCTTGCTCATTGCGCTTTTTCAAATAAAATAAGGTATACTTAGTGCATTGCAGGCTAAAGAAAAAACAATGTGAATAAAGCACAAATGAAAGTGCATAAATGTCATACTATAGTTTCAGTTCTATGAACAAGAACCTTTCTCAGTGTCTAAACGTTAAAAATGACGTCGAATGTCATTTTTGATGTTTAGACACTGGAGTGCTTTAATCTTGTTGTTGTTTGGTTTTCTTCATTTGATCATTATTTGATCTTATCATTGATATGATCTTCATTTGATCTCCTCAAGTTTATTTGTGGTTACAAACATAGAATTTATAAATTAGTCTATTCCTAAGCACAGAGATGGAATTTATAAAATATGCTGAAATGATAAATAAAAACTGGCTCATAAAATTTTCATAATTTTCTAAACGCATTTCATTGTTAAATAAAACTTCTGCGCAGTTGAGAATAATATAATTTGATAAAGCTTTTTTTTAAAATTATATATGATTTAAAATAAAATAAAATGGAGCCACAAAAAAAAAGATTATTACCGGAAATTGTAACTGACTGAAACTCAATTACTTGTGAGACCATAGAGAACTATTTCCCTTGGCGCCATTGTTAAGACAAAGATATCGGGAAAAATGATAATTTAATAATCCAAAAGAAGGAAAACTATAGACGATATGTAAAAAGATACCGATGATATTTTTGTTCCATTACGCATGAGACATATGTTAACAGAAATAACTGAAGAGGAACAACCGGATTACTTCAGATAATGAATGATTAGATAAGGAATAGGAGAAGAATATACTTTTTTTATGAACGACGAAAGGCTAAAGAGAATAAGCTTTGCTCTTACGATAATCAGGTCAACCAAAATAATTGAAGGTATATCCCAGAAAATTACAAAATTAAACTTATAAAAATATTAAAATTATTTACAACAAATGAAGCAGGTTGCCAGTGAACAGGGAAAAAGCGAATACATTTAATGATCGTATTTTAATTTATTAAGACTCAATCTTAATGGTTTGAGAACCTAACCTAGAAGATGCAAATTAATTCATGCAAACAATATTCGACACTTAAACCAGAGATGCCAACTTGCTCCTGAAAGTGGATAAATATTTTCGAGTGATAGTCTTTCAGTGTATGATTATTGGTTTAATAAATTCGATTTATAGAGTTTTCACTCACTGCAACCTTTAAATCTGTGATGTGATGCACCACTTTGCAACAGTTGAACCGTGTTGAGCCTTCAAAAAGGTGGCAGAACCTTTTTACTGTTGTAGTCTTTAAGGTTTGTAGCCTTTTTACTGTTTTTTTGTGGGATCCGGAGCAGTTGGCATCTCTATTAAACGTACTTCTTCAGACTAAAGCTTTTATTTCTTAACTTAAGAAAATTTTTATTTCTTGAGGATATGTTTCAAACTCTGGGGTGAGATGCTATTCAGAAAATATAGTTCCACTAACAGAAGAACGATTTTAATTACGAGCCTATTAATGTTAATTTTCACTTTTACTTATTTCAACCTCTAAAAAAAGTTGTTGTTTTTTTTAAAAAAAAAGCTTTTATTTCTCAAGGACTATTGGATCTATTCTCTTCAAACTTAGAGTTTTAAAATTTAAATCAACACAATTTGAGATCTTTTGAACCATAAGTATTCGGAGTGGTAAGAGATAATAAATAATCATAAAAGAATATCTTTACTCATAATTGTCTTTGGATAAACAAGTTTTAAAATTTAAGGGCAGAAATGTTTTTATGTTTGCTCAATTGGTTAATTAGATCTGGTGAAGTACGCAGAAAGTAAATTTATCACAAAAGGATACCAAACTTTTAACCGCCTTTCTGACTTAACTATCGGGATCATATTTTAGAAATTGCGGCATGATGACGGAGTCAAAAATTCGATGCCTTAAATTAAATATCGTTTGCACAAATAAATTAAAATATTTGAGGCTTGGTTTTCATTAAGATTGAGTCCTAATACTCGAAAATCTGATTATTAAATGAAAAATTATTGATGATACTCATTTGCAATTGACTTTTGTGATATCCTCAAGATGTGATCTATCTATCTTTGAATAAATACTATATTACCAAATAACGTCATGATACAGCGAATTTGCTATTTTTATCAAGTAAGTTCTTACTTTAGCTAATGCTTTCTGAATTAAGTATGAAAATAGCGAAATATGTCAATATTAAGAAATGTCACAAGTTAAATATGAAGGCCACAATATAGAGAAAGGTCACATTCGGGTTTATATTAACCATCGAGCTCAATTTAGTAATTATAAATGTCATAGATTGCTGCGTATCATTAAACGTAATCGACATTTCAATATTTCATTTCCTTTGGTAATATAATGATCAGTCACATTTTTTGTAAAGGTGGCGTTCCACATAAAACTGTATCCAGGTACGTGCATACCCTGATAAATGCTTGATAAATTTCTAGAACGCTTTTTTACTATGAAACAGCACAGTGCGATTTCATTTTCTACATGGAAATCAGAGCATTTATCAGCAAAAACACTCCTAAAAAACAAATTGAAAAAATTGCTTGCTATCAGATAATTCCAAGACTTATATGCAAGGCGAAAAAAAAATCTGGTAAAATTATCGCACTTTATGGATATGACATTCTTGATAAAAAAAGATAGCATATTTCTTTCTGGTAATCAAAACCAAAATATGTGGTATTTAAGCCATTGATTTGTACTTTTTCAGTTCATATTGCAACGGTTTATTCAAAGTTTTAGTTTTCAAAATTATATTACTCACTTTTGGTAAAAAAAAACCAAAACAGAAAAGTAAATTTTACTGAATAAAGGTTTTTTTATGCCGTACTCTAAGGTATTATGATAAAAATTACCAAATTTAAATTCATATCTAAAATGTTATCTCTTATCACAAAAGCATATTTTTTTGTTAATTTTACCAAAACTATAGGCAAAGCGTTTCGGTAAAAATGACAGAGCTTTTTGGTGTCTCCATAGAGCCAGAAACACGGTAATTTTTACCATTTTCTGGTAGTTTTGATCATATTTTGGGTGTGAAGATATGAACACATAATTTTGACATTTTCAAAATATTCAAAATTCTAGCGTTTACATTTAACAAATACTTAATTTAACCAGTTTGAGTGAAAGGCGTAAACCATGAACATTTTGTAAAATAATTAAATTCGTTTGCGGTTAATAAAAATTCAAAATTAGAATGTCAAAATAAAAAGGGAAAATGTTTCGTTGTATAAAAAAAAATCCAACAATTTACAATCACATGAAAAGAATTTCTATCCAATAGAATGTTGAAATAATGATGGAGGGAAACTTAATGAAAAGTGTGGTTCATGCATACTGTATAATTCTGTATTGTTGCTTTAGTTTGTCCAAAATACTTTCTAACACGCTATGAATTCTTAATAAAAATTCTTATGAAATTCATATTATTTTTAAAATATATAAGTACTGTGATGTGAAAAGCTTAGTGAAAAAGCAATTTTTAATTTGCTATTAAAGCACCTTTAAATTAAAATACTAAAATTTTTTAATAAAATTTTCTTTCCTCTTTTTTATAGTTTACAGCAACAAAAAAAAATATTTTTACTTTCTTCTTTAAATTAATTGATGCAAAAGTATTTTTTATTTAAAATAATCCTTTTTAAATATAATATTATCAACATTCTACACCACACCAATCACAAATATTTTTGCGTTAGTGGTTTTATCTCATGATGCTAATTTAATTTCAAAATATAATTTTTGTTTTACTACTTTTTCAAATTTAGAACCTATGCAGAAATGCAAATGAAATAATAAACAATATTTATTTTTTGTACTATCGAAAAAAACTCAACTTGCTTTTATTACCAGGCGAAAAAAAAATATAGCTTCAAAAAGCAAGTGATTTTTAAAAATAAATCGCACCTTAAGTGAGCTAAATTGTACCTTGAAGTTAAAATTTTTAATTAAATAAATATGTAACTTATAAATAATTTATGAATTTGAAAGTAAGAGGGCTAATCCCCGTGATTGAATATTTCATGAAGTCGATTTAAAGTTCTGATGAATGTTAATAAATTTTCTTTGCTTATGGCTGAATGCTTATTTTTTTTTAAATTTCATCGATTATACTTATTTTTGAAATTGTTCTCTTTCTGATATGTATTATTGTGATACATTATAAAACTATTGCATTGCACGTAATTTTTATAAACAATTTTACACACTGTTCATGATTTAAGTTAAATAGCTAAAAAAGATCTCGATAAATTGCAAGCATGTATTATAATATAACGGATATTACGAAAATATTTCAGTTTGTTAAAAAACGATATAAACGTGAGCAATAAACTTAATAAAAAATATTTTTTTTATAATTCATTTTTTCGTATCTTTTACTTTTATTTCATAGAAAAACAAAAAATCAATAAGCAATACGAATTAAAAGTATATAAACTAAAAGCAATGTATTGTGAAAGAAAATTGTACAAAGATATAAAGATCATGGGAAAAAAAATAATGCACAAAGAAAGCAATATATTGTAACGTGCTTTTATTAACTGAAAAGAAGTACGCGAAAAAAACAAATATTTGTTGTTATATTTAATTGTTTGCAGTTTGAAAAAAAAAGTTTGGAAAATAAATGAAAACTGAAGATAAATTTGAACTTTTAAAAATAGGGTTCAATTTTAAAATTTTAATACCTCATTTTGTGAACGATTGTTTAAAACAACGCCTCTAAAACAGGTTTGATGATGTTTTGTTACGATATATTTTTCACGCATTCTAACAAAATATATATTATGTACGCAAACATCTATAAACTAATTATTTTTAAAGACAACAGCTTACTCCAAAAGAATAAATCATTTAAGTAATCTTTCTTCAAATTTCTTGCATACATAAGATTATTCATTGTCAATAAAATAATTTTATAAACAATTAAAAATAAAAACTTACGTGTAAAATTAAATCAGCGAAGAGTGATCTACAGCAATAATCTACACAAATTTTGGTATTTTCAATATTCCATAAAAAGACATAATTTTAACATTTTTTTCTCGTTTTTTGAAAGCAGAAAGTGGAGAGCGGCACAAACAAATTTAATTTCTGAATCGCAGAGATGTGCCTCTTCGTAGCGTTTCCAGTCAACTTGTAACTGTATGGATTCGAAAGCTAAAATTTTTGGTCGATAGCCGTGTTGGTGAGCTATCTGGCGGCAGATTTCGTGCGCCAAATGATGGCGCTAAAGTTGAATGTTGAAAACGCCAATATCGTTTTTTTTTATTAATTCCTGGACTTTTTAAAAGATAGTATAAGGCAAATTTATAATGAATTACATATCTTACTTTCATTGTTTACATTTTGACTTAAATTATATTCATATTATGGTCGAAACAGTTTAATATGATCATATAATAAGTATATTTTAAACGGAAAAAATTCTATGGATTAAAATAATTTTTTATTTTAATAAATAATATTATTTCTATTGGTGAAAACAAATTATGCCTATTTTCCCATTTAGAACGTGAGATGAAACTTGGTTTTCTTTTTTACCCACACTGAACTTTTCGTGGACCAATTACATAGACACTTTTTTCACGATCATTGTTTAATATTTTTTTCCGATTTTAAACTATTTATCTCAAAACCTACTAAGCAAAATTACATAAAATTTGGTACATATGAGTTATTTTATGAGAATAGCCTTTAAGATATTCGACGAAAAATATGAAAAATATGTAAATAATAATAAGATGAAAAAAACAGGAAATCTTTCATTCTTTTTAACTAATAACAGCAAAAAATTGCTGAAAATTAACAAAAGTATGAATTTCTGTATTCATAATAAACCAAAATATTATAACATTAAATCATAATTCTTTTAAGTTATACTAGCAAATGAAAAAGCATTCCTGCAACAGCTTGTTGTAGGCAAGAAAGACTATGTAGATTAAGGCTTCACAATTCTGTTAACAATACTTTTACTTCTCAGATAGGTTTGTTCTCATCTATCCAAAGCAGGGTTGGCTACAAGCCGCTACGGGAAATGAACCCGAGTTCTTTATATCGGTTAGCCACTGTGTCATCGTGACTATTATAGCTAGGTAAAAAGTATAGTATAAAGTATAGTACATTAATATTTAAAAATAAATTTTTTTAAAGGATGACACAAAAAGATTTGTGATCATGCCTTGAATTTTTTTTATATTTTTATCATAAAAAACGTATATTCTTATCCTGAAATATTATTTTATTTATATTCTTATAATTAAAAGAATCAATGAGTTTCAGATTTCTAAATATTAATTTTAAGCTGAATCGGTCTGTCATTTCTTGAAAAATAAAAATTTAAAATGTGTCTTTCTTGAAATTACAATACTCGGAATTTGTTATGTCGATTTCTTTCAGAATTTGAATTTTGCTATTTAGAAAAGCATATAAATTTTTTTCCTTACTTTCAAAAATTTTTTTGGTAATTATTAAATGAAAAAATAAAAAAAAATATTTAAAATTTATATTTTACATGTTTTTTTGAAAAATGAATTTTTATTATTTTATGTAAAATTGCTATGATAAATGTAAATTTTTCTGAAGTTATAGCGAAATACAGAGAAAAGAAACTTAACATTAAAAGAATTTAATTTTGAGCGTTCTCCTGACTAGTGAGACCACATTTTTTATCTAATCTAAATATTAAGAATTGAAATCTGTTGGGAAAAAAGTGATATCTTTATTCTGAGAAAAAATATTATGTTTTATTCTATAGCATTTTAATTTTTGACATAAACCAGAAGATATAGGAACTCCTGGATCAATCATGCTGACTTGAAGAAACTAATCCGCATTTGCATTATATGGAAGGGAAAACCACGAAATCTACCTATGGCTCGCCTGATGGCAAGGGGATTCTAATTCATGATTCATCTACCACTGAGGATATTTTGCGGGCAGTGCGAGTCAGGAGTGGAATTCGTATCAACCAGCCACACAGCTGGGATTCAAACATTAGCCAACTCATTGGAGACGAACTCCCAATTCCCTGAGGCATACTAGTTAATTTTATTTTATAAAAGTCGTGGAACAACCGACCTAATTTTTCGGTTTACGAGCACCAAAGTTCAACTCCGCAGCTTTGTAATTTTGAAATTAATCCAGAAGAGAAGGGAACTCCTGATTGGGACAACTTTGCCTCACTTGGAGGACTTTTTGATGGAGCTAACCTGATTTGTGTTGCATGAAAAGGAAAAACCATGGAAACCTTCCACGGTTAGCCTGACGACAAGAGGGCTGTAACCCATGATATCACTGAAGATATTTTACATCAGCAATGTGGTCGGTGTGAACCGGCGGCGGAATTCCAATTGACAAGCCATCGCTGGGATTCGAACCCGGTTCACCTCATTGAAAGGCGAGTGCTCTATCATCTGAGCCACCATGGTTCTACACTGGTTAATTTTATTTTATAACAGTCGTTGAGCAGCCGACACAATTTTTTGGGTTTACGATTACTAAGGTTCAATTCCATAGCCTTTTAATTTTGAACACAATCCAGCAGACAAGGAAACTCCTGGATCAAGTATAGGAAGAAGTTGAACTTCGTTGAGAACATTTTTATGGAGCTTACCAGCATTTGCGTTACATGGAGAGAAAAAGCACGAAAACCACCCGTGGTTAGCCCGACAACTAGGAAACTCTAACTCATGATCCGTCTACCACTGAGGATATTTTATGTCAGTGCTAGCCACTTGTTTATTAACGTATTTCAGTTTAGAATTTTGAACAAATAAATTTGCCTTTTAGTGCGTAAAAATGCATCAGTAGATCAAAAGTTATTGACCCATTATTACGAAAAGCCCCCCATTATTACGAAAAGCAAAATCTGCTTGGTATACGCATTTAAAATGAGTTCTGTTCGAAAATTGAACATTTCTGACTTTCGCATCTCAATAAGTCTTATGATCAACGTTTCACACAACGACAAGAAAAGTGTCATGACTTTAAGATGCAGCATTTGAGAAAAATCAACTTAAAGAATACTGTAACTCTTATTCTGAATTGGATAAAAAAACTGATACAACTGCCCTCAGCTGGATAAATTGCGAGTTAGAGATGTGAAATTTTTTGAGCTTGATGGAACACTTTATACATATTTTTTATTGACATAACCACAAAATTGCTGTTTTTTGACTTGTGTTACTTTTTTTGTTCTAAGAAAATTCCCCACAAAAGTAATTTTTAATATTTATTTATTATTTTTAGATTACTTTTCTATTATTTTATATAACATTAGTCGAAAAACTTTTCATTGTAAGGTATACAAATTTTAGCATCATTATAAAGAATTTATATGTCAAAATACAAAATTGGAACATATGTCGAATAATTCCAAAGAAATCAAATTTTAAAGGATCGTATAATTAAAATTAGATTTCTTCCGAACTATTCTGCCAAACTATTCAGAAAGATATTTTAAAATTTACAAAAACTTGCGCTACCGTAAAATATAGAATTTCCAAGTAAAATGAGTGCTTTGCATTTTAATTTAAATAAATACGCTTCTTTTTGTGATATCGACAAGGCTTTGTAAAATAAGGAGGACGAAATTAATTGGAAAGTTTTAGGAAACAATGGTTGAAAACTTGATAGAAGCTTATAGAATAATTTAAAAAGAAACTAGAACATTTTAAAAACTAGACAGTTCATTTGAAATTCAACAATAAAACCTTTTTTCAAAAGATATGTAGAATATGCTTTTTTTACTAGAATTCAAATGACACAAAATGTAACTTTACTAAAACTATTTTTTTGCGATTCAAAAAATATATATAGAAACGCGATAGAAACAGAAATATTTGAAGCATATAACTTTTTTAATTGGGTTTTTAGACGGCAGGATTTTAATACCCGATGAAAAAAATTGCTTCATGAAGATTTTTTATTTCATAAAATATTTGGTTTGGGAAAATTATATTCAAATTAATATTACAAGAAGATAATGAGAATGCATTAAGACTCTACTCTCAAAAAATTTTTTGAAAATTATAAATACTATTTCTAAAACATTTCTAGAACTACGGCTTAGCTTAACTCAAAGGAAAATTTTCATACGAGAAATTAAATACGAGAAAAATAATTTTTATCTAAATTATATGTTATAAGGGTAATGCGAAGATATTTTTATATGATATTAAAGATTCAAAATGAAATATTATTTGATAATACCCCCAACAAATGGCAGTAAAAGTTAAGTTTTATATTTTTAGAAAAATATAACACTGGGGAACAAATTTCTTGCCTTATTCGGGTGTCGGCATTTTAAATCTAAAATTGGTTTCGTTCCTAAACCAACAGATTTTTTTTAAATGGCATTTTTAGTCTTTTTTTTTGGCGAAATGTACAAGTTTTAGACGTTATACGTAACAGGTGGTCACAAATGTTGCGATAAACTTTTAGAGGAATAGGGAACATCATCAAGATTGAAATTGCATAGGAAATCATGCCTGGAAATGTCGTCGTATGCGGCTAGGAACGCTTCATTATTACACTGTAGAAAATTCCGTACTGTATGAAGTACCGGTACTTTGGGTGCATCATCCATAAAATCCAATTTCAACGTAAAATACTTTACCGTTTTTTTCACAGAAATACTTATTTGAATTGATTCAGTAATTTCACAGTAATTATTACTTTGAAAACATATGATTAAGAATGCTCGGTGCATTTTACAAAGGAAAAGCTCCGAACAGAAAGAGCAAATCAAAGTTTTGATATCTTATAGATTTTACTTTTTTTCTTGCTAAATAACTGAACCAGATGTTTGTTTAAATGAAGTAGACAGTTTATGAAAGTTTTAACATGAGCCTGAAACCTTTTTTTCAGTTAGCGTGTCCGCCAGAGTCTGAAACCTTTTTTCAGTAAATGAACTACTCTACTAATGTCTCATCTCCAAAGTGCACCAAAATTATTTTTTTAATTTGAACAAGCAATTATCTTCTAAACCTTCTAAATCCATTTTAGTAAAATATCATTAATCAATTTTATTATGCTAACACTCCCATTCTTAATTTTTTTTAATGGTCACAAAACTTTCATAATTGTTTTTTTTTTGTTGCATAATTTAACTCGATACTTTAGAATATCATTGTGGCTTTTTTAATAACAAATGAACTGTAATGAATTTAGGAAATTTCAAAAGTTGTGCATTGAAT